TTTTTTTATTTGTATGTATTTTATATTTTTATTTTATATTTTTAATTTTTTATTTTTTTATTATAATTTTTATTCTATTTTTAAATTTATTTATTTATTTATTTATTTATTTATTTATTTTTTTAATTATTTATTTTTTTTTTTTATTTTTTTTTAATTTTACACTTTCCAAATTAATTAATAAACAAATATTAACATTAATTAAAAAATTTACTATATTCTAGGAAAAAATTGTTTTTTTAAAAACATTAATATTTTATTATAAAATAAATAAAACAGAAATAAATATTAATAATAATAATAATAATAATAATAATAATAATAATAATAATAAAAATAAAAATAAAAATAATAATAATAATAAATTAAAAAACAATTAAAATTATTTTATATATATTATAGAAAATGAATTTTTTTTTAAATAAATTTAATTCAAAAGAAAATAAAAAAAATAAACAACAACAACAAAGTCAGCAAATTGTAGAACAACCAAAAAAGTTTTATTCATTATCAGTTGCAAATTCCATTATAGAATGGATGAAGAAGAACAGATCATATGAAACGACGGGCATATTTAGAATCAATGGTGAATTAAAGGTTATGACTGTTATTAAAGATATTATAAATAAAAACCCAAATTTAGAGGAATATTCATTCGACCCAAATGCAATTATATCTGTAGGAAGTGTTTTAAAAGATGTATTAAGGGAATTGCCAGAACCATTGTTTACAAATAAACTTTTTTTATTATACATCAATGCATTTACAAGTTTGTATTTAATATTTTTATTTATTTAAAATCCCAATTTATATTAACTGATTTTTTTATTTAAATTAGAAATTAATGACTATTATTCAAAACTTTTTATATTAAAAATTTTATACTACTCACTACCTAAAGCAAATAGAGATTTTATAAAAGATTTTTTTTTATTTTTAAAAAATATTGCCCAAAATGCAAATATAAATCAGATGACAGCACACAATTTGGCAACTGTAATCGCACCAAATATTTTATATAATACTTCCTATACAGATTTAGAGTTATTCAAGTATTACCCCACTTCAAATAGTATTATTGAACTATTTTTAGACGAATATCCTTACATTTTCGATGTATGTAACTATTTTTATATTTTTTTATTATTACTACAATTTTTATATAACTCACACTATTTTTATTTTAAAGCATTCCCAAGATTTTATACCCAATGAAAAAATTCCATCATATAATACTCAAGCAAATTTTTTGAAATTATATTGTTCAGAAAATAAGGATTTTATAAATGACGTAAAGGTAAACTTTGCAAAGTATCCCAATGTATATGTTGTTTCCTCTTTTATAGATAATGAACCAATCACAATCCCTATATTTTTAAAAAAAGAAGGAGATACCACAGAATTAGAACATAGTCATTTGGAGTGGCAAAATTCTTTACCTAGCGTTATCCCAAATAAACAACAATCATTTTTAAGTTCTCATCACAAGGCAAACAATAAAGAACAATTAACTCCACCACTTTTAAAAAATACAGAAAACAGAACCAGATCATTTTTATCACCAAAACTAGTATTAAATGAAGATAGTCCATCCATTTCAACTACTTTTGAATCATCATCAACCAATTTTAAAAATAGTAATGTAAATTTAACATCCTCAGGTGTGGACCAAATTCAGAAACCAGATTTTTTCAATACCTCACTTTCTCCCCCACCAGTAAGAAGGGCAAACAGTACATTAAAAAACCCAGTTAGACACTCTGTTAACATTACAAATCATCAAGCCCTTAAAAATATTACTGAATTTAGTTCAAACAATAGCAACAACTTTAATAATACTTTAAATAGACCCAATCTTAGCCATAGTAACTCAAATGTAAATAATCTTAGCAATCGTGTAATTAATAACTCAATTAATAATAATAGTACAAATAATATAAATAATAGCAATAAAATCATTACAAACAATAATATGAATAATATGAATAATAAAAATACTACAAATAATACAAATAATACAAGTAATACAAATAATACTAACAATAGTGAAGAAAAAGTTAATATCGTTTTAAACTCCTCACTAAATAATAATATAAAAAAATTAGATCCACCTCCATATTATCCACCTCCACCACCAATATCTCAAACAAGAGTTTTATTAAATCGTACAACCTCTTTGTTTACAATGTCATTACAAAATAATAATTATAACTAATAAATTATTTTTAAAATATGTATTTATCAAAGATATTATAATTTTCTAAATATTATAATATTAAAAATTATTAAATATAAATCTATTTTTTATTTATTTTTTTTATTTTTTAATTTATTTTTTATTTATAAAACTAAAAAGCTATTATAATACTTTATATTTAAAACCATTTGATGTTCCGAATACTTCAGGTTGGATTGAGGAATAAGCTTTAGCAGGAGGCATAGTAAATGTTCCTTTTGATGTCACTGTGCATTTATAACTAACAGTATATGAACCAGCTATTATATTTGAACCTTGGAATATAACTTTTTCTTTTCTAGTTTCTCTGTGAGAGAATGGTTGATAATACCAAATTAAAGATGGCTCTCTATAATATGGGGTTGGTCCATCTCCACTATTATCTAAATTATTATCTATTGGTTCGATTCCACCACTTGCTCCGTCTTCTATATAAACATCCCTCATATAGTCTGGGACAGTTACTGAAATTGTTACCATTACCTCTTGACCTACATAAAATTCATTTGAACTATTAATTGGGGTTGCAGGTGATGATGATGGTGTAGAATAGCTATATTCCGAAACAATTTTTTCGACATAGAAACCATTATAAACGGGTGTAGTGGGAATATTAATTGGTGTGTAATTTATACCAACAGCCACAGAAACTTCACCAGTACCTTTAGAATTGAATTGAATAGTTTGGTTTGATTCCAAACTATTAAATGGTACAACTTTTTCGACACTATCATTATTATTTGGATAAAAATGATGTTGAATAATTGGTGGGTAGTTTGATTGATATGCGCTAAATTCTAGATCTGGAGAGGTGTTTTCATTTACTCTATCATAAAATGAAATTGCAATTAATGAGAGAGCTTGTGATTCACTGGATGGTTCTATTGGGAAATATGAAAGTCCATTTGATCCTGATGAGCCAACAGAGATAAACTCTATCATTTTTGGTAAAATTGGGGAAGATTCATTTCTGAGGATAAAGAGAATTGATGCATATGTTGTTAATTTGAGACTGTAGAATGGATTGTTATTTATACCTTCACTTTCAATATATGCGGTTCTACCTTGAATACGAATATTGTTTTTAAGATTGTCAATAACTTGACCAATGAATGGTGATGTATATTCTTCACGAATGATGGCGGCCAATGCAAAATAGGTTTGACAAAGCAATGAGCAATTATCAGTTATATTTGATGTTAAGGCATTGAAAGAATAAAGATCGTTAAGGTCCTCGTCTTTAGGTGCCCAATAATAACCGAAACCAATTGAAGCTAAACCAATAGTCTCTTTGTCTATACTACGATTGTTTTTAACAGCATCTTGAAGATTACTATTTAATTGTTGATCGACAAATGAACTCCAGTTTGATATATTACCTATAATAGACCATCCAGCTGTATTTGTGACATCCATAATACCCTTGAGAACAGTTGCATAAAGATTTGGATAAAAGTCTGGTTGGCTATTTGGATACCACGAAATATAATCCGATGAGGTATATGCATAGAATCCCTCGTTAATCGATTCAATTATTTGTTGCGACATTACAATTAGTGATGAATTATAACTATATGATGATAATGCACCATATGTAACCTGTTGTGATAATAAATCGATTGAAGATGGTAATCTGTTTTTATTAATTGAAAGCAGTCTCATTGATTTCTCCTCGACAACTGGAAGATGCCCAACACCAACTGTAATTTTAAGGCTACCGATATCACCTTCACTCTTTGGGAGAGAAAGGAGCTCTTCGCTTGTACTATTTGCTTTAACTTGGAAGCTGGTACCAACATAAAGAGGTGCTTGTTTACCCAACACTGCAAATTTAGTTGTGATTTGATCTAAAATTTCACCAGATGATTTTTTTTGTAAAAAGAAGTATAATGTGGCAGTATCGCATTGATACTCTGCAGTTAATGAAAACATTATATTGGTTGATAATCTAGAATTGTCATTGAATACAAGATCTTTAGTTGGGACTTTATCCTTTGAATCAAACTGAATACATGGTTCTTTATATTTAGCAGCAACACATAGATCACTAACATCAATTGATTCACTTAAACGTGTAATACTAACACCAGATTCAAATTGGTCATCGGTACGAACAAATCTTGGTGAAAAGCCAATCATATTCAAGTCCTTTCTTGATATTAACGATGATTCTTTGGAATAGAGTTGGGATTCTTTATTTATTATATAAACTCTGATGATGAAAGTAGTGAGGTCGTCTGGTAATGTAAATGATACATTTACGAGACCATTACTAATTAAGCTTTTGCCAATAAACAATGGGGTTGTTTGATAATTTGTTTTAATAATTGCCTGATTTGATTGAGCACCATTTGCACCTGTACCCATCAAAGGAGAAGCATCTGCGACCTCATCATCAAACTGACGTGCTGAAGGTGCGAAAGTATTAAAAGATTTAAAGAAAATTGAGTTTTGACTTCTTTCTGTAAACCATTCATATTGATAGAAACTGAATAATGAGCTATTTTTGGAAATCTGTGAATATCTATCCCATCCAAAATAAGTCCATTTATTATTAGAAAGAATTTTTTCAACAATTCTAACTTGCTCTCGATAATTATGGATAAGATTGAAACGTGTATCTGAAATTTCTCTAAATGGTGAGTCAAGTGATAGTTTTTCCCCAGATTCGATTGGATTCCCATAAAGATCATAATTTCTTTTATCTACAACCATTATACATGCCTCGACTTGTTCATCAATTAATTTCTTTGTATTTGGATCGGCTACTTTAATTGAAAAACTAGCTTGCTCATTTGGTTTGAAAATTGAATCATCAAGATCAATTGAAATCTCTAAATCTTTTTGTTGATTAATACGATATGAAAGTGAAAAAGTTTGTGGGTTTGGTTTATCTGGATTATATTTTGTTAATGAAGTTGGAATAGAATCTGAAATTTTGAATCCATATTTTGTTCCAATTAAAGTGCCAACAACGCTTAGAGTTTTGCCACCACAATCACTAGGGATTGAAATTGATAAAGTTTGGAAGCCATGTGGTTTACTAATTTGCTTTTCATATTGATTTTTAGAACCACAACCAAATTTAAATGTCATAGTACCCATCTTGAAAGGGTTATAGAAACGGACATCGACTGTTTGGTTTGGATAATAAACTTCATTATCCATTGTAAACCATAATAATGAATCTGGGATTGAGAAAACCTTAGCATTTTCATTTAAAAATCCCTTGGCACTAACGCCATCTTCACCAGCTTTGTATTCATAATCAACACTTATTTTCTTATAATTCTTTAATTCTGTGCCATCTGGTAAAGATGCTTTGACAACTAAATAGTAAATAGTGGCTGTTGGTGACTCTTCCTCTGGTAAAACTATATAACACTTGTCAGTATTTGAGGAATCGGTTTCATAATGGCATGATGTTGTAAGTGATTTCTTTTTACCTGAATCCCAAATGTTAAAAATTGAATTTTTAATTGTTTTACCTTGATAATCATATGGATTAGTGTTGCTTTCAACAATTCTAACATCAATTGGAATATTTTTAATTGGTTCGAATGTTGTTTGGTTTAATAACAAAACATTTACAGTTGATGGATAGCCTCTAGTAACACTTGACTCTGATCTAATTTGTAATGAATATTCTGATGATAAAATTGAAATTACCATTGGTGAATCTTGTGAAATCAAGCTTCCTGTTGAATCCATATAACTACCGCTACATGTTATAATATCACCGTCTTCAAATTGAACATTCTTTCTATCAAATGTAAACTCTAATGAAGCAAAACCATCATTATTTGTAAAAATTGATTTAGTTTCGGTGAATGAAAAAGAACGTGAATTAATGGAATTACGAGAGAATGAACAAGAGATTGACACATTCTTATTTGGTAGTGGGACTCCAAGATATGTATTTGTATTAATTGAAAACGAAGCAGATAAACTGGTATAGCTACTTGAGTATTGTAAATATCTTTGGTTTGGTGTAATTGATAAAACACCTGATGGAATACGTGGATCTGAAATTAAAATGGATTCATAAAAGGTTATATCTGAGGATGAGTCCGATACTGTATTTTGGCCTTGTAAAATAATTGAATAAGGTCCCATTTTTACTTGATCTGGAATATTAACTGATAAATCTGCAGTACCATAATTGTCATCAATATCCACAAGTTGAGAGAATTCATTGATGCTATCCAAAACATTCCATCTTATTTTAATAGTGAAACGGTATATATTGTGCTCACCACTAAGATATATTTTGATGTACATCTTTTCCCCACCATTATATAACTTTCTATCGGTTACAATTACAGCAGATGTTGAAACTGGATAATAGTATGATCTATAGAGTGAATCTGTTTTAGCTATAAATAACCTATCTCCATCATATTCGATCACAGCCATTCCATTAGTATTATTTGTTTTGAAGTCAACAGTACCAATGGCAGAAGTTTTTTTAGTGCCAACTAATAGAACCTCGGTTGTTGTTTTTGAAGTAGTTGATGAATATTTTTGATTAATATTATAAAATGAAACCGAAACATCCTTTAAATTTGAACCATCTGATAATCTTGTTACCCATAAACCGATACTATTTGGTGTTACTGTGAGAAAAGATACACCTACATCAGTATTTGAAACGAAATCTATTTTATAATTAGGATTGCAGCTATAATAATCCACACTATGCAATTCAGCCTTTAAATAGACACCGGTTGGCTTCCAAAGTGATTTATTTGGTAAATAACTCTGGAAAAGAGTTGTATTACTAGGTTCATCAAAAACTACTGTTTTTTTGGGTTTTTCTGTTAACATTAGCTGGCCACTACTATAGGATTTAATACAATCAATTAAATTTGCCTTAGTAATTGGGTACCCCAATACCTTTCTTGGCTCCTCAAGATTTGAACATTTTTGATCACCATATGAATAATATCCATGATAAATGCTGTTTTGATGAAAAGTGTAAAGGTTTTCTTTTTCCCCTTTATCATCCTTTGAAAAATCTGATAAGCCATAAGTAACTTGAAGAGATGAAACTGTGGACATTGTGAAATTCCAAACAGCATCTTTTAATGGTAACCCCCAGCCATCCAATATTTTTTGATTTCCTTTAACACGAATTGTATAGTTTACTCCGTACTCTAGATTTGAAATTAATAACAATATTGAAGAATCTTTAATATCTAATTTTGAAGTAAAACTAAGTTGAGGGGTGAAAGAGATCATTGAGGTTAAAAGCTGACCATTTGAAAATGTTTTTGGTAAACCATGTAAAATTGATAATTTTTGATTAACATTTGATAACTCTTTATTATGGAAATAAAATTTAAATTCTCTTAAACCTGAAAATTCTGAATAAATTGATTCACCCAAAGGACCACTTTTTAAATTTAATCTAGTACCACGTTTAAATTCTGCCTTATAAAATTTAGATGTCTCTAATCTACTTGCTTTAATACAGAAATAATAATTTGTTGATAGATAGTAATCACTAAAAATAATAAAATATTATTAATAAACCATTATCGATAGATAAATATTCAATACTTACTCTTCATTTGGGCATTTGACAATTGAATAGGTTATTAAATTTTTGTTTTTTAAATTCTGACTTGATGATAAATAAATTATTAAAGATTTTTGAATACTTGAAGTATCGAAAGGTTCATCAACAGAGAATTTGATAATACCATCAGGAGGAACCTCATAGTAGCCAGTATCATTAAAAGTATAAAATGAACTCCATTGATTATTTGTAAAGTTTGATGTTTTTTCTGAGACCACGCTATCAATTGTAATACTTGGTTTTGAAGTTGAGAATGAAATAAACATTGGTGGAGATGATGATGAAAGTGGTGCAGTTAACGTGGTACCATCAAAGCACTTAATATTTGGATCAACTGAGAATGTACACTGAAGGTTTGATGGCCATTTACCTCTAATGTCAAATCTAGCAATCGATGTAGTAACCCATCTATAATCACCCTCTATTGGAACTAAATTTCCTTTACATTGTAACTTGAATGGGAAATAAGTTGATATTTCTCCTAATGGGACAACAGGTCTATTAAACACAACAGTTATTGGATCAATATTTCTTAGTGAGCCATCTGTTGGGAAAATATTTAATAAATTTAATGGAACTTTTATTTTTTGAATATTACCATCTTCAAAATTTTGATCATTATGTTTATCTACAACTGAGATATTTAAAAATGCTGGTGATTGCAATGATAATTTTTCATTATAACTATTTAGATGTCTTTGTTGTTGTTGATTATTATTATTATTATTATATTGTTGATATGCCTGATTTAATTGAATATCATTATTATTATTTATATATGAGAATATAAACAATATACCAATTAAGGTACTAAGTATTATAATTGGTATCTTTAAAGAAACCATTATTATTTTAATTATTAAAAAACTATTTTTTTCTTATTATTTATTATAATATTTATTAACAAAAATAAAAAAAAATATGATGATAAGGTGAAATATTATTATTATTTGAATAAAAAAAGAAAATAAAAATAAATAAATAAATAAATAAAAATAATTTTTAAAATAAAAAATATAGGGTGAATTTTTGAAAAAAAAACAAATAATTGGTGAGGATGTGTGTATAAATGTATTATATTACTGTATTAGTGTGGTTGAATTTTTTTTTTTTTAAATTTAGTTATTTAAATAGTTGGTTATTAAACCAAATATAGAAAAAAAAATCTAGTATTTAGATATTGGCTTTAAAATAAACTATTAACAATCTATAATATAATAAGAATTGTAAAAAGATGATAGAATTTAATAGAACATATTAACAATAAATATTAACACAATCTAAAAATAATATTTTATGTGAATTTATGATATTTAAATTTTGTAAAAGATTTTGATTATTAACCAACCTCCTCTATTAAGTATGTGTGTATCTATTTTTTTAAATATATATTATGGTTTCATTGTTGTCGTATTGGGGGAAAGTAAAAAATAAAAATTTTTAAAAAAAAATAAAATAAAATTTATTTAACAATTGAAATATTTTGAAAAAAAAAAAAAATATTTTATTTTATTTTAAATTATATTTTTATTTCTTTTTTTATTTTTTTTTTGTATATATAATCAATTATCTTTTTTTTAATATATATACATTTATTTTTTTTGTATTCAGATAAATAAAAAGTTGTAGATTTTCTTTGGATATTTTTTTATTCACCACATAAAAAAAAATCATTTAATCACCCATTGTTTCCATTAAAACATTAATATTCGCAATAAACAAACCATATATACAAATTTCAATATTTATATTTTTTTTTTTTTTAAAATTTTATAATAAATATCCATTATCGGATTGAAATATTTCAAAAAAAAAAAAATGTTTTGGGTGAAAGGATGCCTCTTCAAAAGTATCTTCAAAAAAAAAACAAAAAAAATAAAAAAAAAAAAAATAAAAAAAAAAAAAACACAACCTTATTTTTAGGCAAACCGCATCAATTTATAATTTATACTTATCATTTATAATTTTTTTTTTTGCATATAATCTGACAAAGTTTGCGACCTGATTTGCTATTGTAAAAAAAAAAAAAAAAAAAATTATAAAATAATTAAAAAAAAAAAAAAATTAAAAAAAATTAAAAAAAAAAAAATCAATTATTTTTTTTTTTTTTATACTAACTTTTTTATAATAAAGAAAAAAGAAAAAAGAAAATATCTTGTTATATAAACCAAATATAATTAAATAAAATAAAATAAAATAAAATAATATAAAATAGAATAAAATAGAATAAAAGAAAAAATATAGAACCAAAAACAGAAACAAATATATTGATAAATAAATAACCACATATATAAATTATAAATCTTAAAAACTATTTAATTTCAACCACAAAATAAATTATAATATATACAAAGAATTTCACACATTATATAATCTCACTTTTTTTTTTTTTTTTTAAATTTCGAAAGAGGTGGAATTTCCATCACCATACATTTTTTTATAAAAATAATAGTATAAATAATTAAATTTTTTTTTTTTTTTTTTTTGATCCATAAAAAATAATAATACTATAATAATAATAATCGATATAATATATAATAAAGATGGAACCACCACTTAAGAAAATTTTGAAAGTATTTGACGAAGATGGTTTATATAAAACCATGGCCATCGAACCTAGTAGTACAGCTGGAGAAATTTGTGAAAAGTTTGCAAAGAAATTGTTTTTAAATGATAGCGAAATTGTACAATTTAGTTTATTTATTTTTGAAGGTGGAGGTAAGTGGTGTAATATAAAAAAATAAAAAATAAAAAAGAAAATTCTAATAATATTATAATTATACAGTTAGACATCAATTAAAAGTAACAGATTTTCCATTTGACTTTTTGGTTAAATATGAAAAAAAAGATTTTAAATTTTACTTTTTAAATCCAAATGGAGAGTTTATAAGTTTTGACAAAGAAAAGCAAAAGAATAATAGTATCTCGAGTGGGCCACCAAAGAAAGAGTTACCAATGCCAAATACAGGTTCATCTTCATCATCATCATCAACAGCACCACCACCAAGATCATCTAAAGGTATGTCAGGTTGGCTATTAAGGAAAAGACCAGGTAGATATGATAAAATTTGGGCAGTTTCAAAAGGTGATAAATCACTTAGATTATATGAAAATGAAGATACAGATTCAGAGCCACTTTACGATCTATCATTAGAAAATTCAATTGTCGAGTTAAAACAAGATTTACATTTAGTTTTAACATTGGGAAACTCAGAAAGATATACATTCACATCGGAATCAGAATCAGAAATTGTATCATGGGCTCACGAACTACAGGCTACAATGAACTATCAAGCTGGCCAATCTAAACCAATAATTAAAAATAGTTCACCAATGGGTGGTATGTTAATGGGAATGGGTATGGGTATGGGAGGTTTTGTTCCATCATCTCGTGACCTCAATGTAAAATTACAAAATAAAGCTGAAAACTCTACTACCCAACTTTCAACTCTTGTAGGTTGGGTTAATCATATACTCAGCGGTAAAGGATTAAAATGCTCCGACGACGAAGTACTTAGTGCCTTTAGCGATGGTATTTTGTTTGTTAATCTTATTGACGATCTTTTCGGCCAAAAGATAACCTATAGAAAAGGAAAATCCGTATACGAAATGCAATATAATATTGATAGATGCCTCGAAGTATTAAAAGAAAAGTGTAAATGTGACTATGGTAAAATTATGTCATCAGATGTTACCGAATGTAAAGTAGCTAAAATTATTGTAAGAATATTGTGGTCAATGTTTGTTTCATTCGTTACCAATGGTGAAAAGGAATATGCTGTTAAAGATAAACTTTTAGGATGGGCTTCAAATTTGGTAATAGAATATACAAACAAATCTATTATAGTAGACTCTCCAGCTGCATTACGTAACCCATTGGTTTTCGCTGCCATCATTGCCAAGTTAAATCCAAGTGTAATTGATTACCAATCAATTGCTTCTAAAAAGTCTAAAGAGGACCAAGCTCAAATCATTATCAATATCGCTAGTGATCAATTTTCAATTCCAAAAGTTGTTGATGCATCATTTTGGAGTGATGATAAAGTTGATGAAAAATCTTTTCTCATCTATTTATCAATGTTTTATTATTATTTATCAAATCAAGATCAAGAGAAATCAGAAATTATAAAATCATCTATTAATCAAAGAGAACCATGCGAACCAGAATCCACTATGCGTGAAAAACAATTAAAAGCAATTAAAGAAAAGCAACAACAAGAAGAACAGCAACAACAGGAACCACCAAAACCAGTATCACAACCATTAAAGAAGGCTACTGGAAAACCATTACCACAACCAAGAAAACTACCACCAACTGCAAAGCCAGCTGCTACTCCACAACCAGTATCAGAAACACCAGCTTCTACAGCAACATCAAATACTATTACAATAAATGGTGTTTCTATTAATAAACCAAAACCACCAGCTCAAACATTCAAGAAGCCAGCTCCAGTTCCATTAAAACCAAAACCAACAGCAAGACCACCATCTGCATTTGTAAAACCAAAAGAAGATGAACAAGAGAAATTAAAACAACAAGAGCAAGAAAGATTAGAACAAGAAAGATTAGAGCAAGAAAGATTAGAACAGGAACAACAAGAACAAGAAAGATTGGAACAAGAGCAACAAGAGCAAGAAAGATTGGAGCAGGAAAGACTCGAAGAAGAAAGACTCGAAGAAGAAAGACTCGAAGAAGAAAGACTCGAAGAAGAAAGACTCGAAGAAGAAAGACTCGAAGAAGAAAGATTGGAACAAGAAAGACTCGAACAAGAAAGACTCGAACAGGAAAGAAAAGAAAAAGAAAAACAAGAGAAAATTAAACAACAGGAAAAAGAAAGACAAGAAAAAATTAAACAACAGGAAAAAGAAAAGGAAGAAAAAGAAAGAAAATTAAAAGAACAGACCAAAAAAGAGGAAACCGCTAATGATATTTTTGAAAGTGATGCATTTAAATTATTAGATGAAATTGTAGTAGGTTGTGATAAGTATACATCAACTTCATCACCTTCAAATTCACAAATAAGTTTTTCAAATAGTTATGAAAACTCTAGTTTTGTTAATAATGATGAAGTCGAACAATTTACTAAATCTTTTGAACAATTACAAAATGAAGAAGAACGTTATAACAGCTTCCTTAGACCAGCACCAGCCCAACAAGCCCCATCGAGATTATCTAATAAAGATATCAATCTTAATTTCGATCCTTCAGTTGTAGATGAATTGGATAGTATTATTGGAAATTTACCAGATACCACCGGTTCAAGTGATTTTAAAGCTAGATCACCAGATTCAACTTCATCAAGTGCTAAAGAGGTAACCCCAAATGAGGTTTCAGAAGATGCTGCACCAAAATCACCAACTGTAACAAGCACTAAAGTAAGAAAGCCATTACCAACATTAACAAAAGAACAAGAACAAGCTAGACAATCAGTTGCTATTAAATCTCAAGATATTCAACAAATTGAAACCAAAGAACCAGAACAAACTACAACCTCAAATACTGCCAATAAAGAAGATCAGACTTTATCACCAAGAAATACTCAAGGTAGAGTTGTTGTTAGAATTTGTTTAGAAGGTTTTGGTGATGTTTTATTCTGTAGTTTCGCTATTGGTTATGATACTGTTTGTGGAAAAGTCCGTGATATGGTCATCAAGAAAATGAAGGTACAACAAGCTGAAGAGCATGAATATTCACTTCACATCGTTAGAGATGGATTAGAAAGAGTTTTAGATGATGATGAAATTCTCTTAGAAGCCGAGGATAAAATTGACAGATTCGTTTTTAAGAAAAATGAATTTGATAGAAGATTATTAATTTCAAATCACAGACCACCAAAATAAATAAAAAAAAAAGCAATTATTTAATAAAATAATGGTAATAAAATAATAGTTTAGAAAATGTAATATAGATAATAGTAATAAAGAAATTTTAATTTAAAATATAAAAAATTTAAAAGGAATTTAAAAAATTAAAGGTATTTTTAAATAACCAGTTTAATTCTAAACGACAAAGATTTTTTTTTTTTTTTTGTAATAAATAATAAATTTAATCTTATTTATTTAAAATATTTAATCATTAATGTTATTGAAGGTGTTTGGGGCTGCTTGTTTTCAGTCGCTTTGACTATCACTTTCGCTTTCGCTGCACTCTTCATCGTTTTCACTTTCACTAACCTCCTCTTCTTCGGCAGTGGAATAGTCACCATCACTATCATATTCTTGGCTATTTTCTTCGTTATCTCTTTCTTCTTCACTTGGATCGCACTCTTGTTCTTCTCCAACTATTTCTTCTTCGCTAGAATCGTACTCTTCACTACTACAGTGCTTGATAACTAATAATCTGCCATTTTCATCTTTTCTTACAGCCATGGTTTTCTTTGTAATAATGATTTTTTTGGATGGAGATGCCTCTACTAATGGAACCCTATGGAAAGAAGTAACACTGGTTTCAGTTTCAAAACTTGGTTCAGAGCAAGAGCTTTCATCATTATCTTCATCACCTTGTTCATCGACAGAGTCTTCAGTACTTTGTTCAATGTCTCCATCTAATTCTTCATCAAAATTATTATGATCTTCCTCTTCTTCTATTTCTTTATACACTTGTTTGCATACCTCTTCGTCTATTTGATCATTTTCATCTTCATCTGTTTCATTCTCTTCTTCACTTTCATAATTGTTTAATAAACTTGAATTTAAAGCATCTTCAATGTTTTCATCATTTCTTTGATTATTATCAATTTTTGCAATTTCATTTTCTATTTTATTGTTTTTATTTTTATCATTTAATTGAATTTTATCAAGTTTATTTACAAGTGATTGCTCTTTTTGATGGTCGATAATTCTTTCTATAATTTCAACCTTCTTCCCACCATATTTCAACCCTAGTGACTTGGCAATAGCTGCAACATCTTTGTAAAGTCTTTCTATTAATTCACTTTCTTTATATATTATAGTTGCAGAGTTATTTTTTGGTTTATTTATAATACCATTATTTTTTTTTATATTGCTATTATTTTCTCTAGTAATATTAATATCTATTTCTTTAAGAATATTGGACATTTTATTATTTATATGTTTTTATTTATTTATTTATTTTATTTATTTATAAATTTTTTTGCTTGTATTGTTGTTGTTTGTTTACATGAATGTTAAAAATAAGAAAAATAAAAACTATTTATATTTTTTTTTTTTATTTAAATATTTAAATTTGAAAAATTAGTTGTTAAACTGTTAATATTTAACAGAACTATTAAACTATTGTTTTAAAACTATCATTTAATTATTTGAAATGAAATTAAAATAAATAAAAAAATAAAATTTTTTAATTTAAAAAAATAATAAAATAAAATTTTTTTGGGCGCAATATATTACAACCACCTTAAATTAAGCTTCTGCTTTAAGAATTCAAATAATATAATTTTAATATAAAATATTTCCAATAACCCCATTGAACACACTACATTTTATTTATAAAAATAATAAATTCTAATAAAAATCGTCATCCATAAATTATCAAATAAATAAATTTATTTATTTCGAATTAAAAAATCGAATTTTATTTTTCCTTTTTTATTAATAAATTATTATTGTAATTTAACTATTTATAAATAATTTATTTTTTTTAATTTATGTTAAACAACATGGTCTTCGGGGGATTTTCTTTTAAAGTCATAATAAAAGTACATCATAAATAACGAAATTGCCTGGACAACGCTAAATAAATATATTAAATAGGTGAGTGTTGAAACTGGTGGTATTACTATACACACTATTATATTAAAATAGTTAAAGGAAAATTAGTATATTTGTTATTACGAAGAAATAAATAATTGGGTAATATTTACTTATAACACCTGCAATGCCACCGATAAAATTTAAGTATTGTGAGGGTAAAGATACGCCATTAGTTGTTTTTGATTGATAACATAATGCTACTTGGGGTAAATGGCTTAAAACTTGAGTAATTGGTTTAAATGAATTTGTTATAACTATAATTATTAATAAAAAAGAATTGGTAAATAACAAATCTAATTTTAAATAAATCTATTAGATAAAATAATAATGAAACCTACACATTGTATAAGGAAACTGAATTCCTATTAAAAAGGGTATAATGGGGAAACCTATCCACGGTAAATATTTTCTTGATGCCAGAGAGTCATATATCGAAAATTGAAATAAAAAAATTGTATGTTGTAAAACATTAATTAAACCATAAAAAACAATTGGTAAAGTTTCTTTAATATAAAAGAAAAGAGTATTAGTAAGCTATAATAAATGTTTTGTTGTTGTTGTTGTTGTTGTTGTTGTTGTTGTTGTTGTTGTTGTTGTTGTTGTTGTTGTTGTTGTTGTTGTTGCTTTCTATTTATTAAATATAAACATACCACCTGTTAACCAAGCATTTATAAATAAAAATGATGCGCCTATTAATTTTATAATTATACCAGATGATGAAAAACCTTGGCATGATTTCCTCCTATAATTTAACATCATCTGTGGTAGATATTGAACACCAAAGCAACCACTTGATATTATACCAAGCAAATAATATATAATTTCCAATTCATTTGATAGTTCTATATCTTTTTTCATTTTATTATTCTACTATTTTATTATTATTTTATTATTTTATTATTTTTATTATAATATATTTTATTTTTATTATATATATTTTATTTTATACATAATACATTAAAATTAATTAATGTATTTTAACTATTTACAAAGGTCTATTTTATTTATATAAATGTTTTTATTATTAATGTATTATTTTTGATTGATTATGTTAGTATTTTTGATTATTACATTTATAATCATAGTAATTTAAAATAAAATACAAAATTAAAAAAAAAATTTAAAAAAAAATTTTAAAAATGAAAAATTAAAAAATAAAAATAAAATTTAAAAATTAGGAAAAAAAAAAAGAAAAAAAAAAGAGTTAAAAAGCACAAAGCTTGTGATTGCTGACGAAGTTTTTAAATATCTTTTCAATGAGCCAAAAAATGATTAAAAAAAATAATTTACAATAAAAAATTAATTTTTTTTTTTTTTATTATTAAATAAGTTTTCATTTTTATTACAAATGAAAACGATAGCATGACAAATAATTATTTTGTATTATTTGAGTTTTAAATTTAGTTATGATTCTAAATATTGAAGTCTTTTTTTGTTAACAAAATACTTTCGATTTAATATTATTATATATTATTATTTATATTATTTATATTATTATTTGTTTAAAATTCAAATAGTGAATCTTTTAAAACTGCATTCAATAAACCATCAGCTTTTGTTTTTGATAAAGTTATATAGTTCATAATTTCAATACGATGAGACGATTCTAAAGTTATTGATTTCTTCATTACATCACCCATAAGTTCTGATAGTTTTTCTGTTGTTCTTTCTAAATCTTCTTGAAGGAATTCAAATAATTCTTTTGCAGTTAAAACTCTTTGGTTGGTGATGTCTGAAAATGAAAAGAACGAATATATATAGGTGTGTTTTAAAATATTACGGCAATCCAAAAGTTGTTCTACACCCTTTTCAATGAATTGAACTTCTGTCCATGTTGTTGATGAGGTTTGTAATTCCTTCATTTTCTTTGTGGCTTCATCTCTTATAAGCTTTTCTAATTTATGAGAGTTTTCATGATTTGTAAAACGTTCATAGTGATACAAATAACGTTCTAATTCTATACGATTGAGTCTTCTTTCTTCTTCCTCTGATGATTCCTTATTTTTCTTTGAACTTTTACTTGTGCCAAAAATTAAAAATCTTTTTATAAGTTCTTTGTCTTTGTTAGCAGTATAATTACAAACATAGAAATTCAAATGACCTTTCCATGGTTTACTACATTCCCAACACCATTCATACTGACATTGACGGCATACCTAAACAATTTAATTTAAAAAATAAAATATTAGTAAAATATAAAAAAAAAATGAAATAAATAAAAAAATAAATGAATATTTACCATGTGCATGCAGCCACCATTTTTTTCTACTGAAACATTACATTTTGGACATTGTTTACAGTTTGCTACTTTCCAATGAGAGGTCTCACTTTCATCTTGACATTTTTGTTCCCAAAGTTGCATTTGATCACAGGTTGCAGGAGAATGGCTGGCACGGTAGCACTTGAAACAAAACTTGAAACAACATGAACATTGAACAGTATCAGGTCTGCATGAATCGGTTGGTAAATCTGTACATGAGAGTGTTATAGCTTTATCACATCCTGCAGTTGGACAATAACGTAGTTGTTTACTATGTTGAATAAATTTCTTTGTTGTAAACATTTGATATTTTTCGTATAAAAATGGTGGTGTTAATCTTTGGACCACTTGGTCTTCTAAAACTGCTTTACATTTATAAAATGGGCATCTGATAGTTGCTTCACCTTCATTTATCTTTAATGTTAAATAGTTAACCCAACAGTCATTGCAGAATGGGTGTTTACATTTAATCCATGTAAAGCCATCAGGATTTTCACTTTCTTCCCCACAAATGGTACAATAGTAATTTATAAAATTATTATTCGATGAAATACCATTTAGTATTGGTGATGAGTTGATTATATTGCTACTATTGGTGTTACTACTATTGTTGTTGGTACTGTAGATGCTTTCTTTACCACTACTATTACTGATTTCTTTATCTCTTATATGATTTTGATTTAAATTATTGACTGGATTATATTCAATACCAAGTTCCTTACAGATTTCTTTTGGTGATTCAAAGTATTTCAATATTAGCTCCTCTCTTTTCCAATTGAAATGCTTTAAAAGTGAACTTGCTGATGAAATAGTAATTGACAAAAGTTCAGCTATATCCTTGATCTCTTTTTCTTGTTGTTTAACTAACTGATCTGGTGTAAGGCAATCAAAATTCTTTTGTGAACGATAGCTATTTGGGTCATCTAAATTGTTAAACTGTATATAATCTTCTTCATCGTCATCCTCTGTTGTTGTATTATCATCTTCTTGGTAAGAGTCATCTTGTTCGTATTCATTTTCATTGTTATCATTCTCTTCATCATCATTATCAATAGAGCTATCATTTGGATTTGGTTGATTTTGTTCTTCTGATAAATCTTTTTGAATAAAACTTTTTCTATTACAAATTTTTTGTTGTTGTTGTTGTTTATTTGTTGTTGTTGTAGTGGTTGTGGTAGTAGTGGTTGTTGTTAAGGAACTTATATTTTCTGTTGATTCTGAAAGATTTTTCTTTTTGATATTTATATTAAAGCCAAGGAATGATTTTGAATTGTTTCTATTTAGATTTTGATGGTTGGGTTGATATTGAAGAGATGATGATAGAGATGGTTTTATAATTGATTCTTCTTTAGTGCTACTCCTACTCCTCCTGTTAATATTATTATCCCCATTATTGGTTAAAGAGTTATTTAAAGGTATTATATCTGGGCCATTATTATTTAAACTTTCATTCTCAACTAAATTATCTGATAATTCAATATCTGACGAATTTGATTCATGAATTATATTGGTAGATATTATCTTATCAACTGAATCTTGTTGTTGTTGTTGTTGCTGTATATTTGTTTGTGATTGTTGTTGCTTTTTTGCTTTTTTTGATTTTTTTGATTTCTTCTTATCATCATTATTTTGGTTTATAATACCATTTGATTCCGATAAAGATACTGTTGGTGGTTTCTTTATAAATTTATGTTTTATTTTTAAAACCATTTTATTAAATGTAAACAATTATTGTTTTTATTATATTAAATTTATTATTATTTATAAATAATTTTTTTTACTAAAAACTAACTATACTATTTTATTATTATTATTATATAATTTATTGTCGTAGAATGTTGTTTAAGTTTGGAGTTATATAATGCTTTAAATAAAATTATTATTCTAATTATATATTTTATTTTAATACTATTACAATTTAAATTTATATATATAAAAATTATTTACCCTTAATCCTATTATTAATTAATAATTATAGTATTTATTTATTTACTATTTTTTATTGTTATTATTATTAATTTTTAAATGGTAGTAGGAGGTAAAAATATTATTTGGGGGTAGGGAAATATTTATGGGGATTTAAATAGAATGAATGTTGGTTAAGTTTTTTTTTTTTTAATATTATTTTATTAATACATAAATTAAGTGTTATTTCATTATTGCCCAAG